TTTCCCCTTCGAAAGTTCGCATCCAACTCAGATGACATCATAGCCGACGTAGCAGCAGAAGATCGGGAGCAAATTGTAAGTGTTGACGACAAGGCTTATGTCAAGGCTCTAGGTCTCAAATGGTCTCCAACGACGGACTGCTTCATGTTCTCATACACACCGCCAGGTCATCAATCATCAAAGGTTACCAAGAGAACAATACTATCACAGGTGGCCAGCTTTTTCGATCCGCTTGGCTTGCTCAATCCCGTCATGGTAAAATGCAAAATACTTATGCAGCAGCTGTGGAAGCTGCGTCTTGCGTAGGATGAAGCAGTTCCCCAATCAATTCACACTGAATGGAAGGGTATTTGCCATCAGTTATCGTTCATCGATGGCATTCAGACGCCAAGATTTTTCGTCTACGATGCAGACACTGTCATTCACGCGTTCGCAGATGCAAGCATCAAGGCCTACGGTGCTTGCATATATGCCGTGAATCAATCAATCAGTGGCCCATGCTCAACACTTGTGTGCGCAAAATCGCGAGTAGCGCCTACAAAGGAAATCACTTTGCCAAGGTTGGAATTGTGTGCAGCCACCTTGCTCGCAGAGTTACTACATTCAGTCATTTCAATATTTGCGTACAAGGTAACGCCAAGAAACGTGCATTGTTGGTCCGATTCGACCATCACCCTATCATGGATACAGCGCGAAGCGTATCACTGGACCACCTTCGTATCAAACAGAGTAGCGAAAATTCAGCAATTAACTGGTGACTTCACTTGGCATCACGTTCCGTCGGAAGAAAATCCTGCTGACTTGGTGTCACGAGGAGCAACTGTAAAGGACATTGCCGCCAACAGCCTTTGGTTCCACGGTCCTGAATTCCTAGTCAGAGACAGCAGCCAGTGGCCCAACAATCCAATACACATCCACGATGTGATTCCAGAGCAACGAAACCACGGCATATCTTTGACGATATCACCTCAACCGGACATCATTGCCGAGCACAAATATGTAAGGAGTTATAATAAACTTTTACGTATTTTTGCGTATATCAATCGCTTTATTTCGTCATTGCGTCATATACCGTTTAATGCTGGTCCCATTTCCGCCAGCGAGTTAGATTCGTCTCTTTTGTTGATATGCGAATATATTCAGAGAACAGCCTTTGCAAAGGAATATAAGGAATTGGAAAGCGGTGGTGTAAGTCGTCTTTCACATTTTAATCAACTTTCTCCATTTCTTCACAATAGAGTCATAAGAGTCGGTGGGAGACTTAACAACTCGTCATTGCCGTTCGAAGCAAAACACCCCATTCTCTTGCCGAAGACACATCCGTTCGTTCGCACGCTTGTTGACACACTCCATCGTCGCCACTTACATGCTGGCTGCCAAACATTGTTAAGTATTATTCGTGACAGATTTTGGGTCGTAAACGCAAGGAGTCTAATAAGACAAGTGGTGCATCGATGCGTGCTGTGCTTCCGTAACAAGCCACGGCTAGAGTACCAGCTAATGGGCGCCCTTCCTCAAGAGCGTGTGCAACCAACATTTCCGTTCGAAATCTCGGGCGTTGACTACTGTGGCCCATTCTCAATTACGCAACGAATTCGAAACAGGGGACCATTGAAGGTGTACATAAGTTTATTCATCTGCTTCACAACCAAAGCGGTGCATTTGAACTGGTTCCAGATCTTACCACGATGTCATTCATTGCCGCGCTCAAACGCTTCATCGCGAGACGAGGAAGGTGCAAAACAATTTTTTCTGACAATGCAACAAACTTCGTTGGCGCAAATCGCGAACTACGCGAAATGTTGTCAGCATTCATCTCAGAGCAGCACATTACAGCAATTCAGGAGAAACTTGCGGAAGAAGGTATAGAGTGGAAATTTATCCCACCCAGGTCTCCCCATTTCGGCGGTCTATGGGAAAGTGCCGTCAAACGCGCCAAATATTACCTCCGCAGAGCAGTCGGTTCACATCTACTCAACTTCGACGAGTTGCATACAGTTTGCTGTCAAGCAGAAGCTATAATAAATAGCCGACCTCTAACTCCGCTATCAACCAACCCAGATGATCTTCGTGCATTGACCCCAGCCCATTTTTTAGTAGGCAGGCCCCTGACTGCAATCACCGAACCAACAATATCAAAGGGTTGTCTACTTAAACGGTTTCAAATTGTACAGGCAATTCAACAAAATTTTTGGGAACGATGGCAAGCGGAATACATCAAGGAGCTTCAGCAACGGGTGAAGTGGAGTACACCACGCAATAACATTCAACTCAACGATCTGGTGTTGATCAAGGAAGACAATGTACCGCCGTTAAGATGGCCATTGGGACGAGTCGTGGAGACAATTCCAGGCAATGATGGTGCTGTACGAGTTGCAGTCGTTAAGACAACAAGTGGAGTTCAGAAACGGGCGATAACTAGGCTGAGTAAACTGCCCGTCGAAGTTAAACAATAAAATTTGCGTATTTATTCTATTTCGCAGCTTATTGAAAGCGCTGCTTTCAAGGGGGGGGGGGGGATGTTGGAGCACATAATGCTCCAAGTGTACGACTTACTGAGCCACCACTGTAATTTGCTTTATCAGCTGGCCGCAGAACATAATAACCGCTGCCGCTGATATAC